AACTGTGAGTACTCCCTCTTTGGATGCGTAAAGAACCTTTTTGTTTTGTAAATTGGGTAGATTAGAAATTAAAATGTATTGGTTGTAACTAAAATGTGCCTCATTTCTTTTATTAAAATGATCATTCAAATTGTCTCTTCTCACTACTCTTCTCACTTGTTCATGTCTGGTATACTCATCGCCAAATTAGTCAGCCTTCCTGGTTTTGATTTTTAGTCATTTTTTAAATTATTATTATCATTTTATTGTTTTAAGTAAAGGCTGCAAGTGTTTTGGTGCCATTTATTTCACTTCCTTTCCTAAACTCTTTCTTTCTGGTCACATTTTTCACTATTATATTGGCCTCTCTCTCTTAAATTTATTTTGATATGTAAAAACTATTGTTAGAAATTAGCAGCTGTACTTCAGAGCTTTTCAAAAAAAAAAAAAAAAAAATTGTTCTCCCTGATCAGAGAACATTGTGTTTTCTCACAGACTTGGATTGGATATATGGAGCTGTCATTAGAATGCTGTATGGAACATGATTCCACATAGCTTAACTAAAGTGATCTCAAAGTAATGGGTGTTCACCAAATACTATTTTTTTTTGTTACATATTGTACTAAATGACGTATGCAGAGTACTGTTGTGAAATATGTTAAAACTTATCTAATAAACATTTTTCAAAACTGTTTGAGCTGAATTGGATTCTTTAATTGTTGGTCATTGAAAGTGTCTTGAGTATTTTCAAAAGATGTTTAAGAAGTTAAAGTTGTGGTGTGTTATGATAAAAAGACGGATCTGGTAATCGAAATAAAAATGGAATAAGATTTTATCCACACGTTTAATGATGGTCATCTCCATTGTTATTTTATTCTGAAAATCAATTAGTGCAAAAAGGAAGTAGTATATCAAATCGGCATTTGACTCGGCATTGATTGGTCAGTGAGGCGGAAGTAACCGGATATAGCAGTGCTAGCTTGACAAGCTATGTCTTGAAACAAAAACATCTTAAAGTTTATGTAATTGATGTTTTATTCTGTTAGCTTGAATGCATTCGTGATGATATGGCTTCTGCATGTTTGTTTTGAACCACTCGATTATTTCTAACTGGATTTTGGTGGCCGGAGTGTAATTATCCTGTATTAGCAAAGTGAATGGACTGTAACCCACCGTGGAGCTAAAGCAGCTAACAGCAGGAATCAAATAAGCGGTTTTGAAGTACAAGCTTTTAAAGTTCATGATTTACAGCTACAAGTCGAGTCGATAAGACTACAAGGAGGACCACACCATCTATGGACACTTCCTCTAATTCTTGTCCAGCTGAGGTCCGAGAGACTGGGGACAGAGTGAACCTAGAACTAAGGTATGAGACTCTGCAGCATCGCTTCAACTCTGCTACGGTTTAACATTTTCTATTGATACGCTTTATCTGATCAAATACTGATTTGAGTCTGTTTTCCTGTTTCAGTAGTAATACAGAAGATCAAGGTTATGTGACTGAAACCTGAAGTGAGGATGTCTGAGATGAAGGTTGAGACAGACGACCCCGGAGGGCTCATTTTGGAGCCCCCCGAACCTGCACCATCCACGACAGAATACGGCAAAAATCTCAGTAAATTCTGTATATTTGAGCAAACTAATTTTATATCCAAACCATTGGATTCAAGTGGCAGAATTGAATTACAGCCAAGCTCAAAAAGTGAGCTTTTTTTTTTTTTTTAAAGCAGGGTTACTTATCTACATATTGCTTTCACTATGCAAAGTGAATGTGGACTTACATTTTAGGACCATATGTGTCCTTATCAGATTCACATTGAACACACCATGAAGTATTATGAATAACCAGATCATTCGAGACATGCTTGAGTCAGAGGGACCAACAATTTTGTCCATGCATCTGTACATAACAGCTCTTGGTCTGATTCTTCTCCTTAATGCCTAGAAGCTAACACAACAAGGATGCTCAAATGCTCCACCACATTAAGGATTTTTTTTTTGTCTAAATATGTTTTTTTTCTGCTTATCTTGTTATAACATTGATATTTTAAGCTGTTTTTATGAAACAATCTTATAAAAAAAACATTTATATACACATCTGCCATTATTACTACAAAATATTTTTTCGTTTCTTAGACTGAAAAATTTTGTTAAAACCTTTGTGATATTATTATTATTATTATTATTATTATTTGTTATTATGATCATCACAGAACGATTAATGTCCTTGTATGTTTGTTTTATTGTTCAGACTATCAGACGCTGGTAATTAAAGAAGAGGTTACCCATGAATGGAGCTCCAGTTTGAACCAACAGGAGCAAGAGCCCCCACTTATAAAGGAGGAAGAGGAGGAACAGTGGATCAGTCAGGAGGAAGAGCAGCTCATTGTGAAGATTGAAGATGAGGGGAAACCTCAGGTATCTGAGCTTCAACACATCAAAACTGAAGACGATAAAGAAGCTGAATCTTCAACAAGCAGCACAACCGCGCAGATGGAAACAGAACCTCGTGGGGAGGACAGTAGAGGACCAGAACCAGACAGAAACTTAAATTCGCTTTGTTCTTTTCAACAAAGTAAGATGAAGGTTCACAAAAGAGGTAAAAGGTCTAAACTGTGCTCCAAACTCACTGCTCAGATTAGAGTCTGTGCAGGAGAAAGGCCATTTGGTTGCAATGTTTGTGGCAAACGATTCAAAAATAAGACTCATATTCGATTACACATGATGATTCACACCGGAAAGAGAGAATATTGCTGTGATCTTTGTGGTAAAGGATTTAAAGAAAAGCACTGCCTTCAGATACATGTGAGACTTCATACCGGAGAGAGGCCATTTGCATGTGACAACTGTGGTAGAAGGTTCCACGCAAAAACAAATCTTAAAACTCACATGAAGGTCCATTCGGAAGAAAAACCATTTTCCTGTGATGTTTGTAGTACAAGATTTAAAAGGAAGGAGACGCTGAAGAAGCACACGATGATCCACACTGCAGAGAAAACCTTTTTTTGTAGTATTTGTGGGAAAGGATTTTCACTACAGAAAAGTCTGAGGACTCACATGTGTCTTCACACAGGAGAGAAACCATTTGTTTGTAGTGTTTGCAGCAAAGGATTTGCATTACAGGAGAATCTAAAGAGACACATGTCTTCTCATACCGGAGAAAAGCCATTTATCTGTGGTGTCTGCAGTAAAGGGTTTTCATTACGACAAAATCTAAAGAGCCACATGCATGTTCACACAGGGGAGAAACCGTTTATTTGTAGCTTTTGTAGTAAAGGATTTTATAGACACGGAGATCTGAGGAGACACATGAGTGTTCATACAGGGGAGAAAGCGTTCATTTGTAGTATTTGCAGTAAAGGATTTTCACAACAAATTCATTTAAAGAATCACATGCGTGTTCACACAGGAGAGACGCCATTTGTTTGCAGTGTTTGCAGTAAGGGATTTTCACTGCAGGAGAATCTAAAGAGACACATGCATGTTCACACAGGAGAAAAGCAGTTTATTTGTGATATCTGCAGTAAAGGATTTTCACAGCAAGGGACCTTAAAGAGACACATGAGTGTTCACACTGGAGAAAAACAGTTCATTTGTAGCGTTTGTGGTAAAGGTTTTTCAAAGCAGAATTATCTTAAAAGCCACATGGAGGTTCACACCGCACCGTTTAGCTGCAATGAATGCAGTAAGCGTTTTGTGAATGAAATCCAGTTAGAGCGACATGCAAGAGTCCACACTGAGGAGAGACCGTATGGCTGTGACATCTGTAAGAGCAGATTTAATCAAAAGGGTCAACTTCAGAATCACATGAGGGTTCATTCAGGAGAGAAACCGTTTGTTTGTGATGTTTGCAGTAAAGGATTTTCGCAACATGGAAATCTGAAGAGACACATGAGTGTTCATGAGGGCTGCAAGTAATGATTACGACGGTCGACTCATTTAAAACAAAGAAAAAGTGTCAAGTGATATAACTTATTATGAAATAATTGCTTTGTGTTTTCGTACATGTCCTTAGCACATTATGCTTCTACATCATCAAATACATTCCCACAGTAGTTTTTTCTTTTTTTTTTAAACGGTTTTCTTCTGCTTGGATCAGATTCAGTTCAAATTTCAAAATATTTTAGGCAGCCTAATGCATTTATAGAGGCATCAGGATATGGATCATCTTGATGTTAATTGTTAACCTAACCCAACATGCTGATCAAAGCGAAGTTCTGCTGTGAGCAGAGCAACAACGTTCAGCGGAGCCACTGAGAGTGAGAGCAAAGCAGCAAAAGGGAAAAGTCAAGAGATGACTCTCTCTCTCTTTCACTCTCTATTTCTGCCTCTCATATGGTGTGCTCGCTCCGCTTTTAGCCCCGCCCCTTTCAATGAATGGCTCTTAAGAGATGGCTCTAAAAGTCGAAACGTTCGCGACGGACCGATCACTGCTTTAAACCTTTCCATTTACAGGTAAATAGAAGCACACATATTCACACTAGGTCTAACAAGCTCCAAAATACAATCTGTGTTTCGCAACTGAATGCTTATTTATTATTGCAGCACATTTCTTCTCATTCATTCGTAGGATAAGTACTGTAACATTGTATGATATGTCTGATATATAGTTATTTTTGTTCCTGTTATGATTAGATTCTAATATCTGTTTTGGTTTGTTAGTAATAAATTAAAACTTAGATTCCAGTGGCTGATGTATTTTTTTTCTAGTGATAATAAATTGCAGTCATGACAGAGGAACAAAAATGACTGTTTTGTTTTTATTTGTAATCTAGGTCATTCAACAGGTATTTGAATGACCTAGATTATTTACGTCTTCAATTTTATACATTTTATTCAGTAATGTGTACATGTGATCCACAGATGAATAATAATTAGATTTTAATACATATTCCCACTCTACAACGACATTAGCCTCATTTATGCTTAGACAATGACAAGACAATGGCTTATTCACACGTCTTATTCTGAAAGTCCTAGTGGTTAAAAGAGGAAGTGGTTTTTCGAATTACAGCTTTACTCGTCATTCATTGGTCAAAGTTGTGGAAGTGACCGGATGTAGCAATGCTAGCTTAACTGATTAAGTCTTCACAGAAAAACGTCTTAAACTCTGTGTAAGACAAGTGTTTAATTTATGTCAGGCTCTAGGTTTAACAGTTTTGGTGAGGAAATCCCTTCTTTGTGTTTGTTTTGAACCACTGTGGTTATTTTCTAGCCTAGGTTTGCAGTTGAGAATGTAATTAGCCCTCACCAGCAAAGTGAATGCACACGATAGACTCCGCAGCTAACAGCAGAAACTTTATCACGTTTAAGCTTTAATTTTTTTTTTTTTTTTTTTTTTGTAACAACACGAATCCCCTCTCCGAGTTTGTGAGACTGTGCGGGAAGAACCACATCGACCTCTAACCTTGTCCAGCTGAGGACAGAGAAGCTGGGGACAGTAACAGAGTGGACCCAGAACTACTGACCACGGTATCAGACTCTCTGCTCCGACGTTTACTGTTACTACACTTTATTTAATAGGGTGCTGAGTTATTATGTCTGACGGCAGTTTCAGGAGCAGACAAACAGAAGATCTGGGCTGAAACCTTGTTTTACTAAAACATGTGAAAGTAGTAAACAAGGATTGTGGAAAGGAGAATCCCAGGTCTAGTGAGGATGACTGAGATGATGAAGGTTGAAGCAGATGAACCTGGAGGGTTCAGTCTAGAGCCACCCGTACCTGCAACATCCACATCAGAACTGGAGGAGGAAACGCAAGACAGCAAAGATCTCAGTAAGTGACGTACATTGGTTTGTTTGGATTGGAAAAAAAAAAAAAATGTCTGAAGAAAGAGTTCTCAAGTGATAAATATATTTTTCCATCATAACCTGGAGGCTAATTTCCCTAAACTGACATCTACTAAATTAAACTGACACTAGGACCAAAAAAATAGAATCCATTAGCATTGCTCAGTACTAAGAACATAATATTTTTGAGAATGAAACATGTTTCCATCTTTTTGAAGTTGTTTTGATACGAGTTGTCCCAGAATGCACCTTAAATGTTCAGCAGTTGGGATATCCACTCTCTCCGAGGGAATCCTGCTGCTATGTAGCATTTCAAGCTGACTGAATGCTCCAACAGGCAGCTTCATTTGGACCATAGCTATTTTTGTCCAGTATGAGCGTTGTTAAAATTCAGCATGAAGTTGTTTCACGACGTGAGTAATTAAGTGTTTAAAAATGCTGACAAACCTTTGTTGAAGTTCTTATTTATTTCTCAATCGGCATAGATAAATAAGAAACATAAATTTCCCTTAAATAGCAGAATTTGGTAACGGGTGGGGGACAGCACCATTTTATTTTGGTGACGTGTTCTAAAATTTTTGGCAGAAATTGTGAATTGTTTGGATCTGAACCAGTTTTTTTTCTCCTTCAAACAGTAGTATGATAGCACTCAACAGAGCTACCGCTGTCACTGTGTAGGCTCCTTTTTGACACATAGATTGTATTACTGCTACATTACCTACATATTTATCTTTGTTTCTCTGTTTAACAAGTCACTAACAAATCTGATTCTTCAATTGACTCTGTAAATTTTACCAGAATGTTCACCTCTACCAGTAAATCTAATGTTTTAGATTTTCCTGTTTTGTATATCTCTTTCCTGTCCTATCAGTCACATTTTGAGCCAGGTTCTCCTAGACCAGGGCTCCTCAGATCGAGACCTTGGGATTGTCTTCCATGTAAGCAGTTTGAGGGTGACAGTTCAGTGGTTAACGACTATTTATATGATTGGATTGTAATGAATTAATTACTGAGGTTTGAGATTACATTTATTGGAAAGTGCTACTGTAGAAATAAATTGGAATTAAAAAAAAGGGATGCATTTTCTTTTTGTGTAAATTATCTGCTTAAAGGCATTTAATAATACCTGTGCATTTAATTGTTTCTAGTCCATCAGATGTTGGTGATCAAAAAAGAAGTTCCCCATGACTGGAATTTCGCTTTGGTCCTGCAAGACCAAGAGCCCCTCCACACTAAGGAGGAAGATAAGGAACTATGGGTTCATCAGAAGGAAGAGCAACTTACTGTGAAGAGTGAGGATGAAGAGAAACCTCAGATATCAGAGCTTCATCAGATTGAAACCGGAGACGAAAGGAAGACAAAAACTGGAGGACCAGAATCGGGCAGAAAAGCAGCAGCTGTATTACGCTCTTCACAACAAAGTAAGGTGATAGTGAACAAAAGAGCTAACAGACCGAAACTGCGTTCCAAACGTGCCTCTCAAATTAGTGCGCACACAGGAGAGAAACCGTTTGGTTGCAATATTTGTGGCAAAAGATTCAGGCACAAGCCTTATGTTAAGCTGCACATGATGATTCACACTGGAATAAGAGAACATAGCTGCGATTTTTGTGGTAAAGGCTTTAAAGAAAAACGTTGTCTTCAGACACACATGAGACTCCACACTGGAGAGAAACCATTTGCTTGTGATGATTGCGGCAGAAGGTTTCACGCAAAGACAAGTCTGAGGAGTCACTTGGAGGTCCATTCTGAAGAAAATCCATTTTCTTGTGATGTTTGTGGCTCAAGATTTAAAAGGAATGGAAATCTTAAAAAGCACATGAGGATCCATACCGCAGAGAGACCTTTTGTTTGTAGTATTTGCAGTAAAGGATTTTCACAGCAAATTCACCTAAAAAGCCACATGACTGTTCACACAGGAGAGAAGCCGTTCATCTGTAGGGTTTGCAGTAAAGAATTTTCGCGACAAGGAAATCTAAAGAGGCACATGAGCGTTCACACAGGAGAGAAGCAGTTTATTTGTGGTGTTTGTAGTAAAGGATTTTCAAAGCAAAACTATCTCAAAAATCACATGGAGTCTCACACCGCACCATTTAGTTGCAGCGACTGCGGCAAATGTTTCATGGAGGAAATGCAGTTGAAGCAACATATGAGACTACACACCGAAGAGCGTCCGTTTGGTTGTGACGTCTGTAAAATCCGGTTTAACAAAAAATATAATCTCAACAGTCACATGAGGCTCCATCTCGGGGAAAAACCGTTTGTCTGTAGAGTTTGTAGTAAAGGATTTTCACGACATGGAGATCTGAAGAAACATATGTGTGTTCACGGGGGTTTTAGCTAAAGATTGTATTTTTATTTGACTGTCCATCTAGTGTTTCTGTGGGCACAGTTTTTATTTCTGTGCTGGTAAAAGTTTTAATCCGTTCTGTCTTTTATTATAACTACATTTTTAAAATAAATTCCCATAGTTGCACAAAAATTACTTACGAAGCACAAATTTGATACAGTTTCTTAAATGTGTACGAAGATGAAGTGAAAGATCTTTGTAGGATCCCACCGGCGGATCGGATCACATGACGTGCAATAAAGTGGATCACTGGGTCACTATTGTCAATTTCACTTGGAAGAGCAGAGCTTAAACTCTATGATTAAAAAATATCAAACTATAAAAGTTAAAACATTGATGAGATGAGCAGGTTTATGTTTTTTTTTTTTTTTTTTTTTTTCAAATTTTTTTCCCATTTTAAAAGCCTGTTAGTTAAAACATACGTTTTTACTCTGTGATGAATATACCCGAGAGTTCTGAAGTGGACCAGGTGGGGGCGCCAAATATTGCCGAGCCAGAGTTCAACCCAGTGAACCGTTACATATCGAGATGGGTCAATATTTATCTGACAACATATCAGCAAACTGTCACACTCATTTCAAAGAGACCAATACTGACTTTCTTGATCTTCTATTTTTGGTTACATTTTATGTTTATTTTATTTTGAAGAGCAGATAAAATATAATAAAATACAAAAATCAGCTTCAAATACAGATTCAGTGTTTCATTGGTCAAAGGGAGATATTTTATGTCCGATAAACTCCCTTTTTGTTTTATAGGCGTTTAAATTGCATTCAAAAGTCATGTTTTAAAACTTTGATTAAAAATCTGCTTGCAAGAAAAATTAATTTAATAAAAATTCAATAGGCAGATTTGCCCCCCTACATACATGTGACTATCCACCGACTCAGACAAGAACAATAACTGCTGATGTTAAGAGAACCTAATGAAATATTGTTCATAGTTCATCACTTAAGATCTTCACTGCCCCAACTGAACTAGTTCACATTCAGTTAAGGTTTCCTTAAATAATGTGCTGAAACTAGAAGAACATTTGTTGCTTATCTTCACTTTTTTAAATGCACTTTATTAGTAACACCAAGAAGAAAGGTGTTCAAATATTGATCCAAGATAGATACTAACTCTTCTTTTTTTTTTACACCGTTATATGAGATTTAATGGCTGTATGAAATGTTAAATGACACTGCCCTCTGCTGGACAAGATCTGAATTTGTAATGAGTTTGCTATTATACTAGCAGAAGCAAGAATGATCGTCGGTGTTTCGCACAGTTTCTCATACCTGCTGAGGGCAACAGAAGAGCTTTATTGACTTTGTGGACAAAATTTGGACAACTTGGTTCTTTTGTTAAATAGTTTTGCAGTTTTGACGACAGTAAAGATATTTTATCCTTACTTTCTCATGTCTTCCCGGTCAGTTTACTTCATTTATTTATTTTTTTACATGTACCGTGTAAAGAAAAGCAAATATGTCAAATCTAGTTATCATTAATCCGTTTAATCCCAAATGTTTTCCTGCAAAATAAGTGCATGGATTTCAATCCTTGGACCTTCCTAACACATGATATTTATGAATTATTACATTTTATGTTGGTTATATTAGTGAAAATACAATTTTTATCCTCGGCAACAACTGTTGCCGGTGGGAAACAGCATAGTTTAAATTACACAAATATGGCCTATTTATACATATACAAAAATAGGAAAAATAGGGTCATGAATGCATAACCTATTATAACAAAGAACGATTACAAGAGCGTTCAGAAATATTTTAGAAACATAAAAATTCAATGCCACATCCTGCAGATGTCATTGTCTCAACGTGCCAAGCGACCTTTGGTCTCATTTAGTTATTTCATCAATGAGGCAAAATCAGGTGAAAATGTCAGTATGAACAAATCTGCATCTGAGAGGACATTCCCCCTGTCCCACCAGACCAGGAACAAGACCTTCGCCTTAGTTTCAGGCGTGCCGTCTTCTTGTTGACGTAATTCAGTGCATAGGCCACATTTTGTGTAAAGGGTCGGGTTTTGGGGCAGTGCAATAATTCAACTGTGGGATGTAGAAGACATCATTTTGAGGTTCCTTCAGGTCTAGAAGATCTAAAACAGCTGATATTTTAAAGCTGCATGGGAACAGCAAGACACATAGAATAAGCAGTAAACCAGTGGACACATAAACTGCTGTCTATGAATTATGCTAGCGGCAACAATTGTTGCCACACTTACATTCACTCTTCTTATGATTAAAAGATGAATGAATGGATACAATTTTCTTTATATATCAGTAGAAGACACTTGAAAGAACATGTGTACAAAATATTTTTATTTATATTTGTTTATTTAAATATTTTACTGACTTCCTCTTGTTCAGGTTTGTGACTGACATTTACCTCCAGCGTCACAGGCAGGAAGTAAAGAGGTCCGGTCATGTGACCTTTCACACTAGATACATAAAATTGATACTGCTTTGAGTAGACACACTATTATTTGATTTAAAAACTTAAATTAGTTGCTAAAAGTCAAAACAATTACTTTTAGAGGTTCCAGAAGTTATAAAAAAATGTCTGGCAACAATTATTGCCGGTGGGATTAAACGGTTTAAGTACACTTATGGTGTTTCAACTGCAGCTCTGAACCTTTTTTACTCAGAACTTGTTTTTCCCTGATCTTTTCCTTCCCTGTTGTTGGTGTAAAATCTTGCTGCCTGCTTTCTTTCTGTCAGTTGAGAAGATTGCTCAGTCTGTTTCTGCGATGTAGGGAGTGGTGTTGTTTCATACAGAGTCCAGAATGCCATCAACAAACAGAGAAATCAGACTGGTGCGCCGCTGTTATCAGACCCTTTCATAGCAGTGTGTGGTTTAACAGCCGAGTAAAGACGATATAAACTTTAAATTATCCACCCATCTTGAGTGTCTGTGGGAGAGAGGAAAAGGCTCCTGCTGAGAACATAAAAAGCTGTTATTTTCAGCATTATGCGTGTAACCAGTGGTTCTGCATTCAGTCTCTCCTAACGCCAGTATTTCAGGTTTCTATGTGCTGGCCCAAAGCTAATAATGGTTCTCGCTCAGCCACCGATTTGAAGAACACATCATCAGGATCCATTAAGTGCACCTTAATGGACCCTCTGATCCTGGTGGATCAGAGCTCTTTTGGCATCAGGACCAAAATGCTATTACTCATACTATATTATTATTATTATTATTATTATTATTATTATTATTATTATTATCATCTTTTTATTTTATTCTACTGTGTCTTGTGTTTTGTTCTGTTTTATCTTATATTACCCAATCTAAGGAACTTTCCTCAACCTTGTGATTATTGTAAATGTATTATTATTATTACACCACACTTGATTTGTGTGTCTATAGCTGCAAGCTATAAAACATGTACTGATAATACAGAGGTCAAAACAGATATATATATATATATATATATATATATATATATATATATATATATATATATATATATATATATATATATAAAACAAAGGGAGAATACTGTATAAAAGTAAATTCAATTCTGCTCTGCTCTGGACCTTAGAAAATCTTGGACCGCCTCTGCCTATTATAAAGACTGAGAAAATAACAAAATAAAAGAGAAGAACACAACAAATCTAGCAAAAATGCAGGTCCAACAGTGTCCAAACAATTATTACATCTTATTTTTTTCAGCACATATGAAGAGGGAGGAACTGGGCATGCCCAACCCGACGGAGGAGGAGGAGGAAGAGGAGGAAGAGGCTGCGATCAGAGGAGCGGAGTGGTGGAGTTTTCTGACAGCAAAATGCTGCCGATGATCTGTCTGCTTCACTGCATCAAGTCTGTTTACACTTGACAGGAAGCGGACCCTAACACCCCCAGCCCCCCACCCCTCTGCCCTGCAACACACACCCAAACACGCGGTTTGACACACACTCACACACATACACACGCACACCGTGACTGGGAGCGGATAAATGTGGACCGCAGTGGTACCGACAGCGTGCAGCCTGCAGCAGAGCGCGATGCAACAGCATCTCATCATCTGTGGCGCCGGGTAGCCGCTGCTGATGCTGAGGCTCCAGAGACACACAGCAGCGGGATCTGGTGAGTACAACGTCCCTCAGCCGCCGCCACACGGCTCCCAGATGGGGATTTTTATTTTAGCGTCTGTTACTGGGTGATTGTCGCCGCGCTGCATCACTGAAACACCGAGCCGGACCTGCAGGACACAGAACTGGCCCGTGAAAAGGTCATACCCAAACACACACCGCGCAAACAGCCGTGTCTGTGACGCATCTTGTGCAGAGCCCCACTCAAGTTTTGTCCTTGGCAGACAAAGTTGGCGCTGCGTGGATCGCCTTATCTAAGGTGAAAGCGTACGTGAGGAGATTATAGATAACACGGGGAGACTCATGTAAGTGCACCCGGTCCCCCCCCCCCCCCCCACACACACACACACACAAAACAAATGAGTTAAAGGATGTATGGAGGACCTATAAGGCTTTTCACAAGCACTTTCTATCAAACGACAAGCTGAAAAGTGTTGCAACGCGGTGCTGCAACGCAACAATTATCTGATCTGGAATCAGACTTCTGGCGCCATTCACAGACAGGACTTGATAAAATAGTGAATAATGCAGCAAGAAAACAATCAGTGTATTGTTAAAACAAACAGATCAAAGAGTCCAAACAAAGCAGCAGGTTGTCAGTCTGGATGAAAATACAGGTGAACATGAATCAATCAGAATACCATCGAAAACATTTATTCCGAGTCTGAAGCATATAGATTCATACATATATCACACAGAGGGATGTATTAATTTAGATGTTTGTTGGATTACGGCCAGTAAAAAATAATGTTTGATGCAGAAGTCAGGGTTTCCCTCAGTGTATTTTAAGCCTGGCGGGTCACCAGGCTGAGCATTGCCTTTTATTTTTAAGTCTTTTTAAAAATGTTTTCATTTTTTAAGACTTTATACTTGGTGTTCAGGTATTAATCTCCCAATCTTTCAATAACACATTCAAGTGGTATTTTAAAATTTCTTGTCACCTTTAAACATTTTTAAACTCAAAAACATGGCGGGTGGCTGGGTGAATGACTAGCAGGTTTTCTGGGGGAAACCTTGGAAATGTGATACTTTGGCCACGATGTGATGGGAAAACTGCTGACTGTCCAGCAAACAGTCAATGACAAACTACACAAGTAAGGGGAGCCGCAGAATATCTGGCTGTTCAAAGATTCCTGCATGTGTGCATGGAAAATTGAGTGGAGTGAAAAACTTTGGTTTAAAAGAGGTGCTCTATGAGGAAGGACTGTGAAGCAAAGCCCAATCAAGAT